CTATACAGTAAATAACTATTCTTTTTACTACTTATCTACTACTTATCCAAACCATACAGTAGTGCAAAATATAGTAAAGCTTTTTCCAGTCCCCCCACTTGTTCCTCATTATTAGCTGTCAAATATTTTATTAAAAGTGTTCCTGTTGTGTAGCAGAAAGAACAAGAGACTCAGCTTTGGCTAAATCCTCTTTCTTTTAAATTAGAGTAAGATATTCCAGTATAGGAGACCCTCTAATTTCTTAACTAATTCTGGTATATCATACCACATTAATTTTAGAACACTCTAAAATTTCCCATTGTGATATTGATATCGGATATTGGTTCAATATCAGTCAGAAAATGAATATCAGAATATATCAGCCTGCATCTAAAATCTCTAATATTGGCATATGTGGATGCACTGTATATACTGCATATACCCCATAAATCTTCTTCTTTTGGCACCTTCTTCTTCTCTTTTTGACTATTTGTGTTGATGTAACAATTAGCCAATCAATCAATTAATCAATCAATGCTGATAGCAGTCTTATGCCTCTATTTAAAGTTAATATAACCCATTGTTTAATAAGACATGAGTGAGTTGTTCTTGCAGCTGTTGTTGATTATTATTATTTGTTTGAGTAATGTCACTGATCAAGCCTTTTCTAACACCCAACACTACAAAATAAGTAATAAAAGTTTGTATGATTTATGCTGCTATCATATCAGATCAATATCTGTCAAAACTCAAAGCTGCAATATTGGTATCTTATTAGAAATTAAAACATTCTATGGAGACATCAATATTATCACAAAAACAAAGTGCTTTTAAAATACAGATAAAAAAGAATCAAAGCTCATTTAATTGAATTTGTCCACATGTGGTTGGTTATCATTCCAGCAGCAGATATCACCGTTTTTTGGGGGAAGGTACAAAATATAAAGTCAAATCTAACTTTGTGAAATTTAAATCCAGTGGCACCCAGAAAGTGGAACAAAGTGTTTTATTTTTTAGAGTCTGCACCATCTGGGCTGTTTTTTTTTTTTTTTTAAGCGAGAAGCTCTTAATGTTTTGTATTCTGTGGCTTATTGGGTTACTTTGTGACAGCGTTGGTGGAAGATCAACATCAGTTATCTTGTCATTGCTGGTCTAATTTAAATAGCAGTTAACCATTCTTATTTACATTAAAGTCATATACAATTGGTATTTAATATTTGTTTTTAACTTAGATAAAAGATCGACATGCAGCAAATTACACATTATAATGTTTTTCTGCTTATTTGATTGTTTTGTCTCTTTTGATTACTTGGTTAGAAGATTTGTAATGATTTCAAACAAATAAACCATAAACCTTATATTTCTCTGGTTTTAGTCAGGGTAAAATATGAATAAAAACACAAGTGTTTTATTTTTGGGATATTTCTGATGCTTATTAGAAACCATTGAAAAACATAGCAAAGCTATTTCTAAACACTTCGGTCCCTTCAGTACTGTGGTTGGATGGATGGATGGATGGATGGATGGAGAAAATGATAGGCCAGACAAGAAATACCATTGATGACCGAAGCTTCCAGAACAATTATAAAAGGAAGGAGAATATGCTGAGAGGACAATTACTAGTTTTAAACTGCTTATGGTGGGAGAGCACCACTGCATCAGTAGTGCCATCATGAAATGTGTAGTGGTGGCAGGATTATGCTATGGGATATTTCTTCTCATGTAAATTTATAAAAAGATGGTTGGAGCCATATACAGAACAATTCCAGAAAATTAAATGCTTAAATTTAAGACTTAAAACTGAGATTAAGGTTCAGTCATTGAGATCATCAGCTCTAACTTCTGGTTCCACCAGCGTAAAATTGTGGTTTTCCAAGTGCTACACTGACATACATTGAAAGAATTAGTGCCACATGGTTTAAACTTCACAAGTTGCTGGTATAATGCAGTTAGAAACAAAACACATCAGAGGGTTCCCGATTTATTTCTATAGCACTTTTAAAAACAACATAGAAGCTTTGGGAAGTGCTGCATAAAAAAAACAAACAAACACAAAAGCATGTTATTTATAAATCACACACTAATGAAACCAGAAAGAAAAAAAATGAAATAAAACAAATGTACAGTTGAAACACAGATAAATAAATAAAAAAACTCTCTAGTTTTAAAATGCATTTTAAAAACATCAAGAGATGGTTAGATTTACTCAGCTAAAAAAAATTAATTCATATAATGCTGTTCACCAATAGACATTTCTGAAAACTCTTTATGCTGGAGCCTTATCCATCCAGTGGCTACAGTTTACATTCATACATTGATGCACATTGGGTTTGTTTGGCCAAGAGGCACATCAGCATGTGGCAGGAAGAATCTGGAACACATGGATCGCAAGATTTGGACGGCTGCTCTGCCCACTAAGCCACATACTGCAATTAAATAATTTAGTGGAGAATGAAAAATGGATCTAGTAGTAGCTTTCTATCACCACACTTACTTCTACTCGAGTAATTTTATACTTAAATAACGCTTAAGTATAACTTCTACTTCTTTTTCACACTTCAAATTACTTTACTGACTGAAAATGGAAAAAAAATACACCAAACATAAACACAACCCAAAGGTTTATGTGCAAATGAGATAGGTTTAAAGTTATTTGTCCATTCAGAGGTAAATGATGCTCAGTATAATTAACCACCAGCATTTTTAATCCTCCCAGACCTACAGTTTTGTTTGCCGTACATTTTTCATTTCCAGAAGATACATTAATAGCACCTAATGAGTTTGATAACTAGACTTTTTCATGTTATGTACAGTATGTTTAGCAAGAAAACGATATCCTAATATAAGGAGAGTGGGTTTATTTTTCTGAGTGATATAATGGAGAAAAACCATATAAAGAGAGAATATTTTAGACTGCAGACAGTATTAAACATATGAGTAAATGGATGTATTCAAAGCAACTAACATGGCTACCAAAAGATAAAGGTTGAAAAAAACTTGTTTCTCCTTTCTGAACAGTCTTACCTCTTTTATGAAACCTCCAAAGTAAAAACACTTCAAGTACAGACAAAAGTAACTTTTATTGCACCAATAGTCTTAAATGTGTCCTCTATCTTTATCAACACAGCGCTTCAGTAAAATTCTAAAAAAGGTATATTTTAAGTATATTTTTTTACCTTTTTACTTAGAAGAGCTGCTCTTGAAGCTTTTTGATGGGGTCCCCAACATCTCTTTTTCGCCAAAGTAACTGTCATGTTGTCATGGTACCACTAGAAGGCGCACATAGTCTCTATTATAAAAGTATGATGCACAGTAGCAAAAAAGTAATGTCCTTGGAGCATCAGTTTATGGAGAATTCTCAAACCCACTTTGTTTTTCCCTTTGAGAACTTTATAAAGAGGCACAGATAAATTAGATTAGATTAGATTAGATTAGATTAGATTAGATTAGATTAGATTAGATAAGATTAGATGAGCTTTATTGATCTCACAGCGGAGAAATTCACTCGTCACATATTGGCATATAAGTTACAGAAGGTGCAAACAGGGAGGAAAAGGGTGCATTAAGAATAAGCAATATATATACAGTATATCCAGATATATACAGTATATCAAATGCTGTAAAAAATAAATAAATAAATAAGTGCTTTATGTTGTATCTTAATAGCCCTGTATCGCAGCTGCATTTGCATTACAAATGTGCTGAAACCCTAATCCATTTTCTAATGATGTTGAAATAACACAATTTTGCATATTCTTTAGTTCCGTATAATAAGAAATTAAATTATAATCCTGGCTGAATTAATTTGTTCACATAATTATATTAACATAATAAATCTGATGGTTTACAGAAACACACTACTATTACGCTGCACATTTTGGTTATAAAAACACTTATGCCAAATTTCTTTGAGTACCACTAAAGGCATGCCAAGGATTAGAAGAACCAGTAGTGAAAGGCATTTCAAACAGGATTGACTCATAGGGGCTGAAGAGAGGCCCGCTTCACACTTTTCAGGTTTTTATTTGTAACATTTTAGTTAGCTAATAAAATCTCCAGAAATATTCAACATTTTATGCTTTCGACTTAAAAGCATGATGTGTATGAAGACTTTTGAAAGGCACTGCAAATAAATAAGATGTATTTGTTTAAAAAAAAATCTAATAAAAGTCACAAACTATCAAAAATATTTATTAGATATAAACTAATAAAGAAGTTTTTATTGATCAGCAATTCAAAGTTTCATGAACTCATAAGGGAAGTTCTTTTCAAAAGAATTACCTATGTAGTTACATTTACTCCGTTACATTTACTTGAGTAACTTTTCGGAAAAAAGTATTTAAGTGTAGTTTTAAAATGTTATACTTTTTACTTTTACTTGAGTACATTTTCTGGGTACTCCAAACATTGGAAGTAACATCCCTTAACAAAAACAAACTTGGTGTGATCAAATATGTACCACTGAAAGACGCACTTTCTTCCTTTTTGTACTCAAGACTTAATGGTTAAATGTTATCTATCTGCTGAGTCTGCTGTGTCATTTGGAGGTTGGTTGAAAATCCAGTAAACCGTATACTTTTGATTTAACCTTTTTCTACATTTATTGTAATTTATTAAGCATTAAAAATCTGAATTTTAAAGAGTGCTCCTAACACCTACATTTTTATTGTGCAATTACTGTATGTTATATAACTATATCTGTCCTATTCTTTAAAATGCCAGAATTTGCATGTATCCCAACAATTTTATAAGGTGGGTATAGCGCCATCTACCAGAATGTTTTTTGAAAATTTTCAAAACATTCTGGTAGATGGCGCTATACCCACCTTTGTAATTTCTTTCAAAACAGTAGAAGGAGAAGTGTATAACCTTATAAACCAATCAGAAGAAACTGACGCACATTTGAATCTTTGGCGGTGTCGTGTTTGGTCACAGGCAGGTGAGCTAGATTTCTCTTTACAATCGTTGGACGGAAGAATAATATCATATATAAAATATTCTTTGTTTGGTGAGGGGGCAGTTTTCTGTTTAAATACGGAAGCCGGTTCGTTATCCAGGTTCGTTCTATAGCATTGTTAGCTTAAAGGCTAAAGCTAATTTGCGTCTGTTTCTTTTTTTTTCTTATTTTGTTTTGTCAGCTCGAAAAGAAGCCGAAATGGAAACAAATCTGGCCAGACTTTTAGTTGGGCTGTCTATTCAGATCAGCCGCAGTGATGGTGAGTTTTTTTATTAGTTTTCTTCGTATGTTATAACTGCTGCATATTTGCCGAACCCCAGCTTTTAGCTTCATTTTGAAATATCTGTCTGTCCATCAGGTCGAGTCCATTCGGCCATCATTAAATCCGTGGAGCCCTCCAAATCTACAGTCATGGTCGAGTGGACTGAGAGGAAAATATGCCGGGGGAAGGAGGTTGGTGAACAAAACATATTTGGAAAACAAAGGAGAAATCGCCTGGTGAAACACAATAGCTAAGTGCAGCCTGAAATCTAAGGGTTTCAATTGAGTATTGGAAAATAAAAAATAGCTGCTGAATTTTGTTCAAGCTTTTTAAACACAAGCTTGTTTAAAAATATGGTAGCACATATATCCAGAAAAAGAATAATGCTTGAATTTTATTTATGCAGAGAAGCCAAAAAGAAAACAGGTTGCTTATTTGTTACCTTTCTTTCTATTTCCTTAAAAGTACCCTACTTAGGTAAATAGCTGACTCTACTGGTTTAAAATATGGTTTCACAAACATCATAGAACTTAGTATATAAGCTGTGTTGATATTGTGTGTGTGTTTAGAGTGGGAGATTGTTTTTTTTTTATTGTTCCATAACTTTTTGTTTCTTGAGGGGAGGGGAAAATGTGACACAGGGACTGTTTGTCTTGACCACCATTAATAATTGGAAATATAGGAGAATGTTTGGTTTAATTAAGATGATTTTTGATCTAAAAACAAAAGATTATTAAAAAATTGTAAGAAAATAGCTTCTCTCCTTAATGATTACAAGGGTTCACATTAAAACATCTCAGTTCAAGGGATATTATGTCAATTGATAAACAGGATGAATTCAATTCAGTTTATTTATATAGCGCCAATCCCGACCCATGTCATCTCAAGGCACTTTACAGTTCACCAGATGATACAGTCAAATTGATTCAAAGTTTTCTATCTGAGGAAAACCAGTTGATTGTATTGACTCGGATGCAATCCCTCACATTAAGCATGTTTGTGGCGACAGTGGAGAGGAAAAACTCCCTTTTAACAGGAAGAAACCTACAGCAGAACCAGGCTCAGTGTGAGCGGCCATCTGCACAGGTTGACTGGGGTTCAAGGAGACAGAAGCAGAGATACAAAAAGCAAGATGAAGGATATTGGATGCTTAGGGATTGTTTTGTATCTATGAATATTGAAAAAATTCAGTATTTATTGAATTTGAAATGTCCCATAATCCTTGTGTGAAGGGTGTGGCATTTGGTCCTGATGTGAGGACAATGACTCTTGTAGAAGAGTGATTGTTTTGGTTAAAAAACCAAATTCCATCTTTGAAAAATTATTGATTACTAAACTGTGTTACATTATTTCTCCATTCAATTTTTTTTTTTTATGTAGAGTTGGTAATAAGTTGAAGGCTGGAGTTAAAGTTAATGTGTGATATATATATATTTTTTATTATTATTATTATTTCACAGATTGCCTATGCATTTAATCGCTTGTTTGGTTTAACAGTCTTTTGATAAAAGGAGAATTTTTTTTTTTCTCTGAAGCCTCTTTCCCTCTGAAAATAGCAGGTTAATGTGTGTTTTTGAGACAGGGGTTGCTCCGCTAACAATCGCCGTTTTGCTGCTTTCCCACTGGCAAAAAAAGTCAAGTCTAACCCTTTGCTGGCCAGCTGAGTAGCCTCTGTCTCCCTGCCACTGCATGTCATATGACACCATCATCTTGTATTGGCGTTGAAGATGTCACCATTGGGACAGAAATCAGGAAAGTAAACATTGGATAGTAACATGTAAGGAAGCCAGGGCGTAGTAAGTGTGCTTTATCATTTCGCTGTTTTGTCTGTCCAAATCCCTCTCACCAGTGCTTCGCCATGTTTATCAAATGTAAACAGTTGTTTTGGCTTGTTGGATCAGAAGCGACTGGTGCGGTGTGTTGATGTCCGTATGTTGCATTCAATGGTGTCACGTTATGTAGCGGGTCAACCCGGTTCTGGTGTTCCCACACCATGCCGATCAGAGCCGAGGGGATTTTAAGGCGGGTCACTTGCAGACTTGTTTGACCAGGGTAGAGATGTGTCAGTGAGCCGTTCCTACTGCCATTAAAAGCAAATTGTTCCCGGGTTTAAACGTGTTTTTTAGCCAGTGGAAAAGGAGTATTAGACCTTTCCCAACGTGCCATTTTCAGTGGGGAAAGAGAATTAAGTGAACTGTGTGGAAATAACTGATAAGCTTTCCACTGCCTAGCTTAAATGATGGTTAACATGAGCTTTTAGCTAAACAGCTCCTTTGTTTTCTTTAAAGAATTCCTCCACATCTAGATTTCTGTTTTTATTTCAGATTGAGATCAGCGAGCTGTGTCATCTTAATCCAGAGCTTTTGCATCATGTGAATGCTGCTACTAAAGCTGAGATGCCTTCTGATGCTTCTGATAAGGCAAGTGATATTAAGAGTTTATTTGTTTATATATCCTGGGACGAACTTAAAAACTAAAACATCAAAGATAATGTATTTTTACTTTTATTTAATTCGTTTTTAAATATTTAGTGTAGATGTTATACCTTATGTTACCGTGTAAATGAGTTTGGCTGTAATTTAAGGACAGGTTCTAATAAATCTTCAGTGTGGGGACTATAAATCTGATAGGATTTTTATTTTTTAATTGCTATTTTGCACAATTTGCTTAACTAAGTACTTTTTGTTGAATATAAGAGATTTTGCAGATTTTTTTTATACGTACATTGTTTGATTTACTCAACTTTCTACCCCTTTTATAGAATAGAAAATTTCTTTATTGTCCCACAATAGGGGACATTTTCAGCAGCAAAGAGATTACAGAAGAAAATTTATCACACAAATGTGGACCTTAGGAAAATGTATAAGAATATAACAGTAAGGAGTTAAAATATAAACAATAAAATATTGTACTGTAAAGTGTTTTTTAACAGTATAAAACTGTGCACCTGGAGAATAAATACGGTAACCAATATACAGCTATGGAAATTTTTACAGTAATGGATATTTTAAAATAGCAGCAACATCAGAGATGTGCAAAATGTAGCATGTTATTTAACTGACTATGGTTTCTATCATTACATTTGCTTTTATTTGTTCATGCTCCTGGTGGTTGGCTCCTTTATTCCACTCTGTATTCTCATGAGTGTAGAAAGCCGCAGAAGGCTAGAACTGTTGGTCTCCTTATTTTCACTGACTTGGAAGGATCCAGTGCAGGTGGACTGCATCCTTGTAAGATGCAGCCCATACATTTGAACGCAGCCATAGGCTGCATTGTATACTGAAATGTTATTACTGAATAGCATTTAATTTTGATATATTGATACAGAATTCTTGAATTATTTGCAATCTTTTGTGTTCTGTCCCAGAAGTATACGGGTCGTCTTCGCTCATCCCGGATCCCGGCTCCTCCCTCCTGTAAGTAACCTCAGAAATTGTTTGCTAGAGAACCGCTTACAGTAATTTTCACCTAACGGCTGGTTTCATTCCAAAGCTTCGGCTCCAGCAGCCCAAAATGATGAGGAGGAGTCAGGTTGGCAAGAGTCGCATGTGTTTTCTTTTTAGACAAAACAAATGCAGAAAATCAGAAAGGCAATCTAGCAAAGCCTTTTTTGTTTTTTTTTAGCACTGATTGATTCTTTTTTTACATTTCTATGAGACACGGGTGTCGGGGAGGGGATGGATACTTTCATTTTTTGTGCTCACTCAGAATTAACTCTTACCTTTTTTTTATTTATTTTTTTTTTTTTTAAAGATGAGCATTTAGTAATGATCACTTGGTGGGTTGAGGATGGTGTTGGTTGGTTATTTTGGAAATGGAAGACTAAGAGTCTGCTTGTTTTTAGCTCTTATTTAAGCCTAGCTCATCGTATTGATTTTTTTCTTTTCTTGGGCTTTATCTCTCTTAGTTGCCCTTCGACAGCAGACTCGACAAACATGCTTGTTCCAGCCCCCGACTTCATCCGTGCCAACCATTAAATCTTCTGCAAGGAACCCGGAAACGATAATACCTGAAATAAGCTCCTCGACGCAGTCTGCAGGCTCCGGTTAGTAGTGATAATTCCTACTGTGGGCAACAGTGGCGTTGGATGTAGGAGCTTGCCCTGAAATCGAAGGATTGACATCTGTGGATGGATTTTAGTTGACATGAAGTTGTTGTTTCCTATTGATTTGTAATCACATATCTGGTATTTGATATTGTCAAGATATAAAACTTGCATTTAAAAATTTAAACAAACTGCTTAATTTGTTCTTGTTTTGGTAGAGTTTCTGAATACATCTTTATAGATGCAATTCTTATTTGTGCAGCAACTCCTTCACAGCAGCGAAAAGGAAATGAAGGCAAAGCGGCACGGCAAATGCTTCATTTACGCGAGTCGGTCAAAGAAAACGAACCTGAGATAATGCCTCCGCCTTCAGCCAAAGGTCAGTGGTTCCCACTGACAGCAGGTGAAATAAACTCCGATTCCTTCACATTAGTCTGTAACAGTAACGTATCTCTGCACCGCAGGCAGAAGAAAATCTGTGGCTCCAGAAACGAACAAGAGCAACAAAAGGCTTTCTACGCTCATGAAGCCTGAACTGCAGCCCAAGAAGGGGAAGGTAGAGATGGATTATTTTGGTTTTCATGATTTATTGAATATTAAGGAAATCTGCATTTAAAAGAATGATTTCCATCTGGTTTAGTTCGGAGAGTCATCTAGACCAAATCAGAAGTTCTATGAGATGATCCAGGACTTTAGAGAAACCTTGGAAATAACGCCGTTATCCACCGCAGACAAAGTAAGTTTGGACACACTTTTTTTATTTTGTTTTTAAATCTAGCATTTTTTTAAACTCTACTTTTCTCTTTTCCTCACAGGCCGAGCCTCAAAGGATATGCGTTTGTGTTCGCAAACGGCCTCTGAACAAGCAAGGTGGGCTGAAAATGCATCCCTCAGCAACATCATAAAAAAAACACAAACTTTTTTAACAAATATACGTACGTTTTTGTATATTTAAGAGGTTACCAGGAGGGAGATAGATGTGGTGTCTGTACCTGGTAAAGGCACGTTGCTGGTCCATGAGCCAAAGCAGAAAGTGGACCTAACCAAGTACTTGGAAAACCAGGTCTTCCACTTTGACTGCTCCTTTGATGAAAATGCCACCAATGAGATGGTCTACAAGTAAATATCTTCACAGCAATAGATCACATGTAGAAAAACATCTTGCTTAGCTGCTATTCCACTACATTGCTTTGTTTTCTAACTCCCTAGTCTTTTTTTCCCCTTTCAGGTTCACAGCCAAACCTTTGGTGGAATCCATTTTTCAAGGTTGCATGGCAACATGTTTTGCCTACGGACAGACGGGAAGTGGCAAGACTCATGTAAGCCCCTGTGGTAACATGCACAGGTTGAGGTTGTGCTAAATTTAGACTTGATGTCTTCTTTCCTGAATCTTTTGTAGACGATGGGGGGTGACTTCACAGGGAGGCAACAGAACAGCACTAAAGGAATCTACGCCTTTGCAGGTGATGCTCCAACCAGAAGCTTTCTGTGAACCTTTTAAAGGGGAAGTGGTATTTTTAAAATGCAAATGTTTGAAGCCAACCTGCAGACCCTATTCTGGGCCCTTCACATTTGTTTGCATACTTTGTAAAGATGTGCAAGGGGTTGTTCTAAATTTTTATTTATTGTAGCTTGGATTCAGCCATAAATTTCAAGAAAAGTTAATCCTTTACACCATTTCACCCTTGTTAGATATGAATACGTTCATGTAAAATTAGAACATTTCTTCACTTTAGGAGCCTTGTGTCAAGGATGCTTTGTCAGTGGCTTATCTTACAGAGCATAATTTTAAAACGGTCTTAAAATTCAAGAAATTCTAAGCTTTTTTTTATTTTATTTTTTCTAAAATGATGCCCATGAGAGCTTCTTTTAGACGTGGGATTCTTTGTGAAGAAACAAATTTGTAGCACTGCTCCATATTGATCTCCGGTGTCAGGTTTAGTTTGGCTGCATATGTTAGGAAAACCCTTCATAAGGTAAATCTGATTTGTTTCTGTGACACAAAGAATGTTTAATCAGTGCATGTTTCCGCAATGCTATGGGCCTGTTTCTCTTTCAAAGGTCATGGAAATGTGAGCATGCATGGCATGGTGCTCTTTCAAAGGCTCATTCATCGGTGCCAGATTAAATTACACATTTAATCTCACATTTAGTCTAAGCAAATATAGCAAAGCTGTTCTCTGCCAATGAAACACAGGAGACACAGAAGCATCAGATGCATCTGGACAGACTTTACTGGACACGTTTCAGGAGCATCAAAGCTGCTCTAGACGAGCCTCTGAACTTAATGTGGAAAAACATCAAAAATGAAGCAGCAGGTGCTTTTCTGCTGCCCAAAGTGCATGCCGTGTGAACGTAGTTTATTTGTTGGTTTATATGCTGTGAACTTATTAATATAAGATTTCAGGCAAACACTTGGCTTTTACGTGGGGAAATGTTGATTGCACTGTAGAACTACACCTTCATCACTAGTTGTGTTTATTTTTTCAGCCCAAGATGTTTTCGCCCATCTTAACCACAGGAGGTATGCTGATCTGGATCTGTGCGTCTATGCCAGCTTCTTTGAGATCTACAACGGCAAAGTAATAAAGAACTCATGAAGCATAAGTGGCTCTAACAATCGACCTCTTCAGCCTTTATGTAAACATTTCCTTTTTCTTTCTCCGCTCAGGTGTATGACTTGCTGAACAAGAAGGCGCAGCTGCGTGTTTTAGAGGACGACCGACAGCAGGTTCAGGTGGTTGGGTTGGAGGAGGTCTGCGTGTACTCGGCAGAAGACGTCATCAAAATTATTCAGACGGGGACCGCATGCAGGTACTGTAGGAGATGGGTGACGTCGCCTGATGGGACAAGAATTTGACTTGGATGTGAAAGTTGTTTAGCGGATTTTAAACGCATTGATCAAAGAGCTTCAGTTAGAAAAGGTCGTAGAACAGCCAAAGGAATGAAACTGTTTGGGACAAAAATTAAACAAAGGGTTAAGATTTCTAAGATGTTAAGTTCTTCCAACTCTGTCTCCCCCAATTTTTGACAAATCTATTTTCCACTCTTTTTCCAAATAATCGCTCAGACAACCACGCTGTTGAGTTCAAAGATGTGCAAAATGTTTTCAAGAGGGGTAACATTTTTCTCCTGTTCAATGAGACATTATTGAATGTTCAAACCTGAAAGGGTACAAGACTAATGTTTATTTGAAAGTAATATATAATGATTTATTGTAAATAAATAAATAAGTAAATTATAAATGGATCAGTTGCATTTGTCAAATTTACCGTGATGGCCCTAATTTACAGCAAAGAATGCTTTGCACTAGTATACTGCTTTATTTCTGTCAGAAATAAAGGCATGTGCAGGAAATGCAACTGATCTTTTATAATTTACTTATCCAATAAATCACATTATATATCACTGTCAAATAAATATTAGTCTGGATGTACAGCACTACCTGCCTCTTCAGACATTTTATCATGCTGTGTGTCTTCCAGCACTATACCCCGCTGAGGACAGTCTGTTTACAGCAGTGCCATTTTTAAAATGTCCTGTAGAGGGAGCGCAACTTAAAATTTACTTATTGCTGCTTTAAATTATGAAATTGAGGTGAAGTCAGATTCTAGGTTTTCTGTGATTATTCATTAAGATTTGCTGTTTGGATGGTTTTAAATAAAATTATTCTTCCTCATTTAACTATCTGCCCAGAACATCGGGACAGACGTCAGCCAACCCCAACTCCTCTCGCTCCCACGCCATCCTCCAGATTGTGCTTCGACGTAATGACCGTGCTTCCACTCTGCACGGCAAATTCTCACTGGTCGATTTGGCAGGCAACGAACGTGGCACGGATGTCAGCAGCAACGATCGCGGCACTTTGGTTGAGACTGCAGAGATCAACCGTAGCCTGTTGGCTCTCAAGGTAAAGAGTGGAAAACACGGAGGGCCTTTCTCTTAAACCATGACCCAGGAAGACTAACCATCCTGTGTGATTTGTAGGAGTGTATTCGTTCTCTTGGGAAGAACAGTGATCACATTCCTTTTCGAATGAGTACTTTGACCAAAGTACTCAGGGATTCATTCATTGGAGAAAGCTCCAGAACCTGCATGGTAAAGAAACAAACTCCTCAATTTCTCTCAGCTTTATGCTTGGATTGTGTACAAATTTATAATCTAGAATGACATATGATGATCTATTCTGACACAAAGCTATAATTCCACCCTCTTATTCAGATTGCAATGGTGTCCCCAGGCATGGCTTCTTGTGAATATACAATGAATACTCTTCGCTATGCAGACAGGTACAGACAGTGTGAAGTTCAACATCTGAAAATGCCCAGAAAGCACTTTTATGTTAATTAAAGATAGAGTTCTTGTGTAGTGTAGAAACTTCTTGAATTTGGTTCTGGTAATTATCTGGGTTGGACAAATATTTCTTTGAACACATTTCTTTCTTTGCATCCTTTCCTTCTTTCTAGTTTGTGCTTCTCTTGCATCCATCTTTGTCTCTTTTCTTTTGTTACCCCTTCTGGTCCTTCCACTCATTTTAAAAAAGTTCTTTTGTGAGTCGATCGATTTCTGTCCCTTTCCTCCCATCTTCTGCTCATACTTTTGTGTCCTATGTTGTTGTTCCTTTTCTTTCCCTGACTAGTTGTCACAGCTTTTTTTGCACTTCTTTTCTTGTTTACTTCATTTCTCCTATCCCTCCTTTCAATTTTTCCATTAATTTTTTTAGACAAACAGGAATTGCTTTAGTTTCTTTTTTGCTTTTTAAATAAAATAAAACCTAACATTAAGAGCAGGATTTGCATATTGCCAGAAGCAATTTTAAACTGAAGAAAAACTTCTAGCTTTTTGTCAAGGATTGTATCAGGTGTATGAGGTTTTAAAGCTTGTGGTGAGACACATGACTGCTTGAAACATGTCTGGTTCTTTTGCAGAGTGAAGGAGCTGAATGGCAATCCCAAAGCTATTGAAGCAGAGAAAGAAAAGGAGCCAACAGACAGTTCATCAGAGGAGGTGTCTCACAGCAATGAAAGTTCTTATCTTAATGAGGTATTTCTAAGTGTTTTAACATCTGTTGCATGTGAACAGGAAACTTCTGTAGAGTTCACAGTGCTTGATGTCATATCACAGGTAGCAGAATTGGAGGAGAAAGTCTATGAAGAGCTAAAGGTGGTTTGTGTACTTATTTTTTTAAATATATTTTTTAAGTGTCTTCCCATGGGAAACTAAACAATTGTCATTCTTTAGAGGTCAAGTGAACTCTATATTGAAATGGGCCAAATCTCCTACAACATTGAGGACAGACTTCCTGCTCTCGTGGATCATTCCCGGAAGATGCTGGGTTTGTGTTGCATTTGACTACATCTTTCTCTTATGTTATCATTTCTAGATTGTATTCTATTTAGGGCTGCAACTAACGATTTTTTTAAAAATCGATGAATCGGCCGATTATTTTTTTCGATTAATCGATGAATCGGACAAAAAATATTTTTTATATTAACCTCTTTATTCCAAAATAAACATTTTAGACAGAACAACCAAGCACACAAGTACAGGTTGCTCATTAACTGTACTGGTGCAATATGAAAAATAAATGTTTGTGTTAAAACTACGCAAACTTACATGAGAAGTGCAGCTGTACATCCACAAAATATAGGCTACTTTGTTTCATAAAGCGCAAAAAAAGACAGGCATTTTTGTTTTTAAAAGCCCCTAAGGGGTTCAAACAATAGGTCCCCCCATTTCAACAAATGAGTTTTTTTTTTTAGACTAGAAGAGTTCTGCCTTTTAAGACAGGAAAGTATAGCAGTTAAAGTTGCTACTTGAAAAAAACCTTAACCATAGAGATAAAAATAGCCCTGTGATTCAAATTATAAATTGTATTTGGAATAAAAATGAGAGAACTAGGGGTGCTAAAAAACACATCCTCCAAAGACAGATATTTACATGGGAATGTGGCATATAATTAATTGACATATTACTGATCTTGCTGGATTTTATTCTGCTTTACTTCCATAAATTGTAGAATCTCCTTTACTTTATCTTTGCCAGAAGATTTAAACTTTAAAAGCCTTGCCCTCATAATTTGCAAGTTAATTTATTTATAAAGAAAATGTAAACGCTGCTTAAGCTAATTCAAATGAAATTAAAAGTAAAATAAGTAGCCAACCTTATCACTGTCTGTAACCTACTAACACGGTAAGGAAAGCATCAGATGAGCTACCTGAGAAACTAACGTTACGTTTCCCCACTTTAAAACGAAACAAACATGGTTACTCATCCTGCTGATCAGCTCTCTTCACTGCCATCGAAAGCTCCGAACAGTGGTGCTTCCGTGCCATGTTAATTTGTTTTAACAAAAGTTGCATGTTACGACTTTTTTCACTTTACAAAGCGCAGGCTATTTTAATTATTGTGATCAATTTGCGCCGTCAATCCCGGCGCATGCGCGCTTCATTTTCAGTCTGGACGCTGAGGCTCTGACTGCAGCGCTGAGAGGGACTCCTGCGGGAGAACGGGGTTGGGATGGGGCAGGCGCCCCACGGCAGCAGCTGCCGCAGGAGAACAAGAGTAGGAACGATACATGCTTTCACGTAAGAGTCTCCAAAAGCCGCCAGTGAAACCGTAAAAAGTCGCCAGATTTGTTGCTAGTCGCTTTTTTGAAAAATAGTCACTGGAGGGGTCTGAAAAGTTGCTAAATATAGCGACAAAGTTGCTGAGTTGGCAACACTGCGCACCTGCGACGCTGGTTCGCTCTGCCGTATTTTTTTTTTTCTTCCCCCGTTTCAGTCAAGTGGCAGTGATGACGACGGCGGCGGATAACGTATTAATCGCGCGACACAACTAATCGATGATGACATTCGTTGCCAACGCTTTTAAAAGTCGATTTTTATCGATTCGTTGTTGCAGCCCTAATTCTATTTACCTTTATGACCAATATTTTCAGTGTTTGAAGCACAGAATATTTTAGTTATGGAGACCCTGTTGTATTTGTTTGCAGACGCTGTCATGGCTCTGCAGTCAGCTGTGGAAAAGGGGCGCACGGCGAGGCTAAACCACTGACACAATCCATCAGAGGGAGGAAAAAAACAGTTTCTTAACCATTTTTGTTGTCCTATGTAAGTTTTTGAATAAAAGGAATCATACTTTTATTTCATTTATTTTTCCTCTTTTGGGGTTGAGGGCACGTGGCAAAGGTCAATGGGCCAAAATTTCGAACCTGTGACTTCACTGAGAACTAAAGCTTTCATATCCGGGTTGCTCACTCTTGCATCTGCTGAAATATATCATGGCAGCATTTAAACTCTTTCTTGTAAACCCCTTCCTATGGCATGTTTGCTACTATGATTAAAGTGCTTACTATATATATACTTTTATTTTTTTCTTTCAACCAAAAATCTGAGTAAAGCTTAGATTAAATCCAAGTTGTAAGGTTGGGTGAGGGAGCTAATTTGAATTGATGTAAGATAAATCACCTTGTTTCCCCTAACATTGCACTTGCATTATTGATGTTAAGGCATGTGTCCGACTGGGCGCCCAACACCCATATGGAGCACTACATCAGGGTTATTGCATTTTGTAGGGGTGTCTGAATGTCTAGTGGATAGGAAAAATGCATCAAAGATTTCCCACAATGCATCTTGAAAAATGGTGTACATCAGTGGTCATCATGTTTCTCCCAGAATTCTTTGCAAGACGTCTCCTTGCAAAACCATTGAGGATTTTAATTTTTTATTTGGTGGGCATTGTTTATAGTTTATATTGGTCATTTTTTTAGTCTTGATAACAGTTTGGATTTATCACCTAATAAATTAAAATTGGTGATAAATGTGTAAAATGTGAATTATTTTTAATGATTATAAATGACACTTTATGTAAAATGTGTCCCGAAGAAGCCCATTAAAATTTGTATTTTTAGTATTGTTTGTGATTATGGGGATTGCTATTGCATGAATTCACATCTCTATAGGGCCTGCTTCTTCTGGGTTCGAACTCGGGGCCTCCCATCCGGGTCCACGTTAGGCGTTACCGCCCGCAGCCCTGTGGAACATTGTCTTTATAGCCTTGAGGGTTTGGGCCCCGGGTGCCCTCATCTGCCCTTCTCTGGTGGTTTCCTCTGGGGCTGCCCGCACCTGTTAAAAAGCATATTGTCCATCTGAAGGAGCTTTGTAATTCCTTTATAAATGAGAATGCCTATGCATACATACCAAAGGAATTAGGTTCTGCATACACACTAAATACTACACTACAGCTACAGATTTATGAAAAATATTGCACAATAAGTGTTGCCTTTCAAACACATGGATATCTAAGGGATACCTGCTGCTCTGGAAGCTTCTCTTGATGTTTACTTTTGTTGGTCTCCCTTTTGCTGTTATGCTCTGTTTTGTGTCCCTCTCATCTCATACAGGTTTGGAAGCATGCTTATCAGTGTTTCTCTACATCTTGTGTGTCTATTTTTTATGTTTTAAATTTTTTATGAACTCTTTACTGTCTCGATTTCTTTATTTCCCTTTTGTTCTTATCTCCTCTTTCTTTCTCACCTCACTTTCCTTCTCCGTGTCTAATTTTACACCCTAATTAATTTTCAATAGTTTCATATACAAGTATCAAGTGGAACCTTATGGCAACAGCTGTAATGATCTGCTTTTCTAAGCAAAGCTATTCCCAAAGATTTATTTCTAAAACAGGAAACAAACAAATTCCGCCTTTTCTCATAATAAAACAAAAAAATTGTTTTTTAAGGACATAGCTGAGCTCTAGTGGTCATATGTGTATATAGCCTACTATAAAGTTCACTATATAGTCCCCACTCTATATCATGATTTAGCGGTTATGGCGCACATTCGGACACGGCCTTGGTAAGAGATATTTAGAACAGTCAGTTACAATGACCAAAAATGTATTCTTTTTTGTCATGAGTATTTTCCACTTTCAAAATTTTTTTTCCTTGAATAAAATGCTTTTATACTGATATTGAACAAATTGTGATGAATATGGCACAGTCTGATTAATAGAAAAGTCATCCCAGTATTGGAGCACCCTCCTTTCCTCAAATGCTCAAAATTAGCTTTTTCTATTCTTGAACAATAGTTTTGCCTTTCCACTCTTAAAGTTATGTGAACTTAGGTTACAATGTACATGTCTTCTTTCACAAGAAAATGCAAATAAGTAAAGCAGTTAAAAAAAAAATAATAAAAAGCTTGCTTTAGAGAACAAACCAGTGGTATGTTTTTAAAGCTGTTTGTAGTTAAATATAAATTACCTAAATAGATGAGGGCATGAACATAAAACATTGTAGTTTCCGCTTATTTTTTCAGTGCTTGTGTCCTAATAAAATAAAATATTAAGGACGACTCGAGGCTTGTATAATTTTGTATTAGTCTTTACCTGTACTCATTCAAGAAAACATGTTTTAACCATTAACTAAACTTTAAATGGTACAATACATTTTGTTTATGATTAAATCTACAATTTCAAAGCGAACTATGACATGATTAGGATCAAATCAGCAATTTTGACTGAAAAAGGATAAACAGATTTTTTTTGTGACCAGCTTGGTATATATTTGCTTTTGAGATCACATTTTCTCAGCTGCATCTATGTTAACATAAAATACATCATAACGGCTTCCGGGGTAAAATTTATGTAGTTAAACATTAATTCAAACCACGAATACTTTCAATACTTCAGTAAAAAGTCTTGGATTTAAAAAAAAAAGCCAAGCGCTCCCCCCAGGGAAGCTTACAAACTGAATGGCACCCAGAACAGTAGGGGGCGCTATAACGGTGTAGGAATGGTATTCAAGGTCTCGAGAAAGAATAAAAGGGAAGATTACGGATTAACCAGGGGGAAAGAAACGGTGGACCGGATGGCCATGATGTGGCTACGCTTTTCGCTTCTCGTTTTGGGGGTTTTCTCGCTCTGCTGCTCTACGGCCGGCGACAGCAGCGGCATCAAGAAGATGAAGATGCAGTTTGCTACCGGACCCCTGCTAAAGTTTCAGATCTGGTAAGGAAACGAGCAGAAAAGAAATCTGGCGAGTCATCGAAGGCTAGCTTAAAAAGAAAAAAAAAACAACTCCCTGTCTAACATTGCAGTACAAACACAAATAAGATATTTCAGCCAGTTTATGTGTACAAAATGCAGAAGTTTTTTTTACAGACTGTTCATGGAGAAATATCGAAGCTAATTGTGAAAGTAACATTTTGACAGCTCCCGCATACATCGGTATCATGGCTTCACTTCCGCGGTGAAACGTTAAATCCTCCTAGAGCCGCCCAGTTTCTGTGGATTAGGTAAACATGCCTTTATGTAAGGTACAGACGACCTAATCTGAGAGTGGAGTTATCTGAAAATTCAAATGTTTTATTAATCCTCCTCAAACATCGAAGCAAAACTTCCAAAAAAATAAAAAATGACTGCTGTGTTAAGTTAAACATTAAATTGTATAATTAAATTTTAACGCTAGAACGGCATAGCTTGGTAAATATTGAAGCCAGTTAAACCCTAAATTTTCTCAGCATGTAATAAGTGGTTATTTTTAGTTATTAGTAGTTGTAGTAGGAATTACTTAACTCGTTAAATATTAACTTAAGTTATGATGTTACTCGTAAATTTGAAGGTAAATTTAAAAAGGCATCACAGAGTTTTCTACTGATACTGCCACCTGTGGCCAAAACACAGAACTGCAGTTGTAATATCGTTATACTTTTTTTTTTTTAGAAACAACAGTAAATAACAGAAGTAGCACTTAGGCTTATGAAAACCTCATTCACTGAAAAATAATAAAGCCTCTGTGTTTACGTGAGTGTGTGTGTGCAAGCGCAAAGAGGGTAGTGGCTAAAGGAAGCGAGGTAGGAGGGCAGAATTATGTCCAGGAGCAAATGGATAAAAATAAACATGAATCGATACTCTTGCGGATGTGTCGATGCATCGGATCGTCAGCTGTTTGATCGACGCATCGATACAAAATGATTATTATTTACACCCTTAATCCGGGTGTGCATAAATATTGTAATAATGGTACTAAAACTACTTATTTCTATCCTTAACTCACTAAATAATGCTAATACGCTTAAAAATGTTCCATGACTTTTGTGAGACAATTTTTAAGCTTTTTACATTTTCTTGGTTAAACTGCTTCTCTGATGTCATCATCAGACATGCTCAAAGCAATATGATTAAACCATGTTTTCTGCATTTTAGTCGTTTCTTTCTTTTTTTAGGTTACGCACTATATAGCTTAAAGTTAAAACAAAACGAAAACATAAAACTCAAGAAAACTAGATTTGTGTTTAAATGAAAAAGTCAGCCAACGGTTGTAGCGTAGAATCCCATTTCCGGTGCAGATCGTGCAGATACGAGTGATAAAACAGGATTTTAAGGCATTTATTTTCTCAGGAAATGCATTATATTTTAGTACATTTACTATTTTTGGGGAGGAAAAATATAGGTATTTTTAACAATATAAAATCGAGGAGCCAATGAAATAAATGAGCTGATGCATGCGTAGAACGGATCGTGCTACTGGGACGGATCGTGTAGTGACATCCATCTTGAATATAACGCTTCGATTGTTTGCTAGGTCGGACACATTTAAGGACGCACATGACGTCATATACGCCGAACAGCGCAGGAACTTTTATGTAGATTATTATAACTATTATTAAAACTTAATAATTAATTTAATTAAGTTTAATAATTAATCAATTTCAATACATTTTTGTTATTATCTAATGAGACATTCAAGTATGAATTGGAGCATTCACATCAACGAATTTCATGATATCATTTCCATACACTTCGGAGATCACATCACAATGGTTTTGTACTTGCTTGGTGTGTCTAGAAAACAGCAGGTTGGGCCTGAGTTTAAAGGCAGGGCAAACAGTCAATGGAAACCGGTTACAACTAATCAGATAACTGGATGTGATGCAAAAAAAAGAAAAGGACTGTTGAGGAAACAGTTGTTAATTAAAGATATATTAAACTCATTTGCAGGGGTGATTATTGATATGGGTGTTGCAATGAGATACTTGGGTCACAATACGATATTATGATGATATTCCAATATCTCTATATACTGCAATAATTTTTCTAGCAATCAAAATTAAATGTATCAATTAAGAAAAGCAAGTGTTATATATGTTCTTCAGAAGATATTGATTGTAGTTATTCTGGTATCGATGTTGTTTGGGGTTTCAGTCAGTCTAAATCTTCCACTGTGATTGCCTTAAATACAGGCATGGCGCTGTACGGCATAGCGAAATGGCTCCAAGTTCTGTCTGCCAGAGTGGATGTGAAGAGTTAGCCTATTTTTCCTCGTTGTTTTAGGCAAAAATTTTTAGTTTTTAAAAAAATCGA